TGTTATTTTTTTAAATTTTGCATAACAATTGCAAATAAAAATTTATTTTAAAATTTGAGTCTCGGTGCAAAACGAAATCGATTGGTATGTTTCACTTAGTTGTAGAACATTTCCTTCATACTGAATTTTCCATGACAGTTTTCATCAATAACTGTTATGTTCGGTCCCTGCTTTATACATAAATGGTTATATTGCCGCTGCATATAAGAAGGAGCGCAGTGCCCTATTCTACCTAAATTTCCAGTTGCAATTAATTATGATCCTGCAAATATACATTTCGTTCGCCTAACCTTTGAAAGCGAATGCACATTTTAGTTTTCTTTTTTTTTGTTATTAATCATTCCCAATGATTAGAAATATTTTTTTTAATAAATTCAATAAATGTATAGAAAATTTGCAGTTGCACGTTGACACACAACGACACAAAAATGCGCAAATAAAATTTGCCTAAGCATATTACCATTATTTATGAACAAAAATCAAAATTTAATTTGAAAAGTAACTAATCACATTGATGTATTTTCATGCATCAAACAAACAAGCTAAGAGTCCAAACGAAAAAAAAAGATAAAAAAGATAAGCAAACCAAAATAGGCACATGGCAAATGAATCGATAGCGAATAAGCAGCAACATTCTATCACACAGCCATGAAAGAAAGCCACCACTCATACTAGTCGTAGGCTATTCATATTCGATTTTATTTTTGTTTTTTTTTGCCATTTGGGCATTTTGTGGGCGCCTTTACTTTAGCGCAGCTCAGCTCAGCTCAGGTGGCTCGCTGTTGTCGCGCTGGTCAATGCATTCGCGCGCTTTTGCCAAAATTGCATTTGCATTTGCAGTGACAACATCGCGAGTACAAAATGAAAAAATATGAAAGGAAAAATAAAGTAAATAACGGCCATATGGAACTGCCTTTGGAACCTATACTTAGTACGTACATAAATATGTACATATGTATGTATTTGCATATTTGTTGTAAAAATCGCTTCGATAGCATAAAAAACGCTGAGGTTCTTCCACTGTAATGGTATCAGATTTGTCTGCAGTGGAAACAAAGCACCAATTTTTTGTTTGTGTGTTTAAGAGCATTTACAAAATACCGCCATATGTATGTATGTAAGTGTAAGATGTATGTGTGCACGCTCAATACTGACCTAAGTCACCGCATAGTTTATGCTGAACATATAAAGTCGAGAAATTGAGCTAAATGTAGTAAGGCAATAATTGAACAGGTCTGTGCTGATCTCTATGGCGAAAAATTTCCATGAATATTTTAAACAGATTTCCTATAAATATAGAATTCAAAAATTCTATTGATAACCATAAAAACTACAACAAAAGAGTAATAAATGTAAAGACTTTTTTTCTGAGCACAGTCCTTCTATTAAATGTAAATTATTTCATTTCTTTTGCCAATCAATACGACAACCTCAGAATGAACATTAAGTTGGGATTGTTTTTCCGATTTGCTTTTATCAATTCGATACTTTTCAAGCTACTGCATGCTAAATACGCTATACATATATGTATGTACGTAAGTAGGCATGCACTTCCAGTCCCAGTAATTCATTCTTATTTTTTAATTATTCATATTTTTCACTTTTATTTTACGAGTGCCATCATAAAGTACTTGTGTTTGCTGTGACGAATTTCGCATTGCAAGTGACTAATTTAATATCCGAAAAACAGCATAAAAAGTTGAAATGATTTGCTTCTTGTTCTACACGACTAAACATTAAAACATTGGGTCCGCCAAAAGCTCGAACATGTATGTTTTTATACTAGGGTGGTCCACAAATACTTGGGGGAAAACATTTTTAATGTCCTTGTCCCGTAAGATTTTTCTAAATGGCGAAAAATACCTGTATTAAAAAATTATATTTAGAACTGCCTCAAAGCACATCAAGTTTTCCATGTATTTTATATGGGAAAAAACACTTGCTCGTTCGTAGAAATGGTACAGAGTTCTTGAAAATCAATATTTTTCGATCGGAAACTTAAGAAGCCACCTCCAATAACCATACCCAGTTGTTTTTTAACCATTTTTGAATAGATATTAGATAACTATTTTTTTACGTTCCCCAAAAAATGCGATGGGCCTTGGCGCAGTATCGTTTTTTTTTTTAACAAGAAAATACGGGTATTTTTTATTCCATTTAGAAAAATTCTGGGGATCAGAGCTTAACGCATTATAAGTTTTTTTTTCGCACCAACCTAATGTTCGCTCATAAAATAAGCAGACATTTATCGTGAAACATACAGCACGTGGAGTGAATGGAAAATTTATTAGAACTGCAGCGCTTACTGAGATAAGACTAGTTAAGCAAAGTTGAAAATATCATCCATGTAAATCCTATTCACTGTGTTTGTAAATTATCACAGTTTATTGCTGATAAATTGGGGTATGCCCATAAGCCACAGTTGTAGGCATGTAGCCGGAGAAGCATTGTCAAAAGAATTAATACTGTCGAATGAAGAAGTTGAGAAAAGGTCTGCCAATGTTTTGATGTAAAACAGACCACTACAGAAATCCAATATACATAGACTTACTTCAGACGAAATATCATAAATGCCTTACAATTTTCTTTGTAGGTATTCATCAAGAATTGTCTTTGTGCTATTTAGTCACAGTAAATCAAGGACCGCAATGGTTATGGTAGTAGATTTAACGCTGGTAACTTGACTACTTTGATGCCTGGTTTCTCCGAATGGCTTCACTTGAGAACTTTTAGCAATAACTCGACTCCAGCGCAACCTTGCGGATCTTTTTTGCAATACTATTGCGACTACCCTTACTACTTCTTCTTTTTCTTTTTTGGCGCTGTAACCGCCTAAGCGATTTTGGCCGAATTCAGCAAAGCACGCCAGTCGTTTCTCTTCTGTGCCAACTGACGCCAATTGGAAACGCCAAGTGAAACCAAGTCCTCCTCCACCTGATCTTTCCATGGCAGTGGGAGCCTCCCTCTTCCTTTGCTACCACCAGCGGGTTCCGAGTTGAATACTTTCAGAGCTGGAGCGTTGGTGTCCATTCGAACGACATGGCCAAGCCAGCAGAGCCGCTGTATTTTAATTCGCTGCACTATGTCCATATCGTTGTAAAGCTCAGACAGCTCATCGCTCCATCGTCTGCGGTACTCGCCGTCGCCAACGCGTAAAGGCCCGTAAATCTTCCGCAAAATCTTTCTCTCAAACACTCCAAGAGCCGCCTCATCGGATGTTGTCATTGCCATTGTAGAGTGTAGTTTTCGTACGTCGAGAGAGGACTTTACTCCTGAATTGCCTACTCAGTCCAAAGTAGCACTTGTTGGCAAGAGTGATTCTGCGTTGGATTTCCATGCTGACATTATTATCGGTGTTAACGCTGGTTCCCAAGGAAACGAAACTCTCTACTTTCTCGAAATTGTAACTGTCAACAGTGACGTCCTTCGTCTTGTCCTCGTTTACCACTAGACCCATTCGCTTTGCTTCCTTATCCAACTTGGAAAAGGCAGAACAGACTTCGAGGTTTTTGTTACCGATGATGTCGATGTTATCGGCGTAAGCCAGCAATTGCACGCTCCTGTGGTAAATTCTTCCTAAGCGGTTCAGTTCTGCCGCTCTTATTATCTTCTCCAACATCAGATTAAAGAAGTCACATGAAAGGGAACCCCGTTTTGTGGCGAACGGCTCGGAGAGGGCTTTCCCAATCCTGACGGCGCTGGTGGGATTGCTCAACGTCATTTTACACAGCCGTATGAGTTTGTCGTAGTAGCTGTAATTTACCAGATGCAGAAGAGGTACAGCGCCTCATTTGTAATTGCTCTGTACTTGATAGGACTAGAATTCGGCCAACCTTTTTTCTATCATTCAAACAGTCAACCAACTAGGACCTTTAAAAAGTCTAATCCTTTTTGATCAGCAGTCTAAGAAAGGCCGGTAATGGTATCTTACCATAATATAATATGTAATATGTAGTTATTAAACTATCAGACCATCATATCCGATATCAACGAACTTTCTCTTTGCATTGTGAAATGGTCATATCATCCTATCTCGGCTGACGGTTCGAAAACGCCCTATCTCAATGTAAATTGGATGTATCTGCAGCTTAGATAGGGCGTTCGTGAACAATTTGCTGAGTTACGGCGTTCTGCAACCATATTCTGAAATAGGGCGATTTTCAACCGTTTGCTGAGGTAGGGTATTTGCGAACCGGCAGCCGAGGTAGGGCGATCTTCCACTCAGCCGCTGTTATATTCTTGGTAATTCTTAATAAAGTAAACATTTTGTGTAGAAAGCTTTTCTCGCACTATTTTCTTCATTTATCCAGAAATGATTGCACTGATTCTTGGGTTAAGATATTTTTCGCATCTAAACGTTTATTATGATTACATTCAGCTTTACAGTTGCGAGCATACATCCCATGAATGCGCCATTTGCACCCGCCTCTAGCCACTAATTGGCAATTGACAGTTGTATACTTATCAATTAAATACAAATAAATAAATGAGGGAAAATCCATACATACTGGCAACTGCTTTATGAGTGTAATTACATACGTGCATGTGTATGTGTATGTGTGTGTATACGCGAGCGAGTGTGGGCGTTTGTGTGAGCAGCGCTGCACTATCAAATGACGATCACGTGGGGAAAAAAGGTGAGTAACTATTGATTAATTAAGTTAAAACGCCGGCAGTGACCGCGACTGCGAAGTCAACGTATCCAGTCAATGCAAATAGGAGAGCGCACTGATCGTAAACAGATCGAACACACCAAATGAGCGCTTATTCCGAAGAAATTAATGCTAGAGAGTGGAACGAACTACTTTAAATAAATAGTTTAAAATTCTGCGGTGGGCTGGAATTGAGTACTTTGGACGAAAGTTGATCGCTTTGAACTTAAAACTCAAAATGCAAAATATGAAACGCGTTTGGCCCATTCTGCTAGCGAACAGTCAGTTTGAATCGCTGATTCCTGCTCAAATGGCTTTTAATAGAGAAACAATAAAATACGCTTGGAATTAAACCACCGATTTACCTGCATTACCGCCGGGCGCTTGGAAGCGCGCCTTCAAGCTGTTCAAGTGACTCTGATGCTGCTCGTTGGCCATCACGGCCGCTGCCACAGCGTTGGCAACATGTTGCACTGAGGCGGCTGTGGCTGCTGCAGCGGCATTCGCACTGACGCCCACATTGCAGCTGCCCCCAGCATTGCCACCACCGCCGGCATTACTGCCAATCACCGGTGTGTCAGCGCCATTACCGCCTGCTCCAGTGCCGCCACCAGAGCCGCCATTGCCACCGCCACTGCCGGCGAACTGTCGATGATAGTGTTGTTGGTTCTCGCTGTAGAGGCGTTGGTAGCAGGAGAGTGTCGGTATTGTCCAGGAGTTGTTTGTTTTATAGTGGAAATTGCCGGTGCCGAAAATGGAGTGCGGATTTGTGTTGGCGGAGACATTCGAAGCGGCAGCTGCGGCCAGTGTTTGACTTAGCGCCGATAGTTGGTTATGGGCGACGGCATGCGAATGTTGCTGTTGGTGATGCTGTTGTTGATGAGTGTGTTGTGGTTGTTGTTGTTGCTGCTGCTGCTGCTGCTGCTGATGGTGCTGGTGATGAGACTGCGGATGCTGTTGCTGCTGCTGATGATGATGCTGTTGTTGTTGTTGTTGCTGATGCTGATGATGATTATGTTGTTGTGGTTGTGGTTGCTGCTGTTGCGCCTGTTGTTGCTGCTGATGTGAGCTGTGCTGCTGCTGTTGCTGTGGTTGCTGGGAATGGTGCATGTGCTGCGGCTGCTGTTGTTGCTGTTGCTGCTGCTGATGTTGATTCTGTTGCTGATGCTGGTGCTGCGCCTGTTGCTGCTGCTGCTGCTGCTGCTGCTGCTGCTGTTGTATACTATTCCACTGCACATTTGCGCTGCCGCTGCCGTTGCTATTCACCGATTTCGTTGAATCAATGCTGCTGGCGCTACTGCGGTTGCCATCCAGCGATGAACTGGTCACGCTGCCGCTGCCCTCATTGGCGCTGCTGTCACTATTGTTGCTGCTGTTCATGCCCGCCGCAGCTGCGGCGGCCGCATTCGAGTTCAACTGCTGGAAGTACTGATTCAACGCGCTGTTCGCATGCTCTTGGAAGAAGCCGTTGCAAGCGCTCGTCTGCGACGACATCCTGCCGCTGGCGTTGGTTGGTGTGTTCAACCGACGGCGTCGGCAATTGTCACGGCGCGCTACTTCACCAATTGGCACCGTTTTATGCACTTTACTGTTAATTTTATGCGCGCCCTTGTTGTTGTGTTTTTTTCGCTTGTTGGCTTAGGTTTCGCCAATGTACGCTGCACAAATGCGACGCGCGCGAATTAGTTGTATTCCAAAATTGAGGTTGCGTATACGCCTACGATATTCACGCATCTTTTAGGGATATACTTTATTTGGGGATGTGTGCGCTGCAATTTTTCGCTCACTTTTGTTTACACTTTCACTTTTTAAGTTTTAAGTTTTGTTGGTTTTTATTTTCAACTGTATTTAGTTAAGTTGATTTTGAAGTCAATTTTGGTCACATCTGGAATCGTGTGCTATCATTTTGTTTCAAATATAAAAAAACATTAATCAAAGTTAAAAAAAAAACTGATGAATGGCGATTGTTTTTATGTATGCAATGCTAATGGCCGAGTATGAATGTAAGTGGTTTTGTGAAACGCTGTGAAAAGTTTTTCTCGCGAAATAGATACTTTTACAATTACTTCAAATATTAGAAAAAATGTGTGTATGTAAGAAATTTTAGCGAACTTAATCTGATTAAACCAGTAATGTCCATCACAAAATTACTTACTACTTTTTCTTTTGAATCGAAAAGCAAGTAAGTGTTTTGACCTAATCGCAACTCTTGACATGAAAATGCATTGCAGGATTTAATTTATATGTATAACTTCTAATGCTTATGCCCATGCTAGCGAAAGACTTCATTACTAAAACCGTTCTTTTTTTCTCTCAAATTCTGATACTATTTGAAGAGGCGTTGTCCTGGAGCGTCCTGTCTTCTCTTGGACACGCCAAGTCGGACTAATGTTTAATTTCGGGCTTACGCCGATGCCCATTCATAAATCCCTTACAAAATCAGCTTTTTACTGGTCCTGATACATATATTTTATTTTTGCGTCAGGCTTAAAAATCGATCTCTAAGTTTAAATATTTAGAATAATGTTACAGAAATCGTGACTAATATTGGATCAAATTGCTTCGCTTACTGGAACCTTATATGCCAAAAATCTCCAAAATAGTAACAAACGCGGCTAACAATATCTAACAACATCTAGTTACATGCCGCTCATACGGACAGACTTGACTGATTACACATTATACCTGTGGCTGTTCCATGTTGTATACTTTTAGGCCCGCTCTTTTTTATTCAGAGAACTGACTGATCAATTGGCAAGTCAGAGCACAAAATGTCTGCCAATGGAACCCGAATGGTTTCTTCATGCATCTGCTTCAGAAAAGGTGGAATACACACTTGGCTACCAACTCTAAGATCAGCATTTGTAGGACACTTGTCTGTACTTTAACCGGTCATTACATGTCTTCTAAGCAAGCGCATATGTGGGAAAGGTTTTTCGGTTGGCAGCGTCTGCCGTTCTTGCCTGGAGGAGGAATGCGCTGCTGAGCACTTTGGGTCATTCACTTTACTACAAAGTGTGAGCGATTAACGAGATCAATTCGCGCAAAGGTCTGCCCTTTGATATAAAACACAAACTGCGTCTGAGTGCTAGGGCTTGTCGCCTACAAAAAAACAAAGAAAATGACTAGTCTTTCTTAATACAACTCTCAGAAATGAAACACTTCAGAAATCTGGTGTTTAAGTGGTGCGTGGTTTTAACCAGACCACCCACTGAGGTCCGTTTGACTAGTTCACCCTCAAAATTTCGATTAGATGTTCTCACAGTTTTCGCAGTTAACTCGAAATTTAGGAGGTTTACAAGACAAACGGATATCAGATTTGGATTCAGTGGATCGAACTACACGTCCGTAGGTGGGTCTGGTTAAAAGCACTAACCACATGTTTTTTTTTTTGTTGGATGTGCCGGTGTTAGTTAACTTCTCCTAATTGCAATTTTAAAGAAATAATATTTGGAGTCACAAGAATCAATTTGCAATTATCCGAAAACCTCAAAATGTTTTTTAAATTTTTTGAATAAGCCTTCATTATGACTACTTCAGTATAAAATTCCAAGTAAGCGTGCCATATACAAACCCCTACACGTACAGCCGATCGCAGTTGATCAAGCCATAAAGCCAATACTCAAATAAACATTCACAAATATACTCTACATACAGAAAAGGGTATAATCTATAAAAAGCGATGCACTACTATTTCTAAATACACGGAACGAATAACAATACAAAAAAAACTACACTGCGAATTGTATATCAAACTATGCACTAAAAAAAAAACTACAAAAAAAACCCAGTCGTACACTTCTACTAACTCTGCCTGCCACTTTTAATGTACTTACACAAGTAAGTAAGTGTTCTACGATCGACGACTGAGTAGGCGCATGTGTGGTGAAAAAGAGGAAGGAAAATAAGCAAAACAAAGCAACAGAGTAGCGGTCACGTTGCAATACCTTTTCACATTTCTTTTTTTTTCGATTTACCATACAAATGTGTNAGGAAGGAAAATAAGCAAAACAAAGCAACAGAGTAGCGGTCACGTTGCAAGTACCTTTTCACATTTCTTTTTTTTTCGATTTACCATACAAATGTGTATGTGATTGTATTTATTTTAAATTTTTTCACAATTTATTCGTTTAAAGTTACAACTTTTTTATTTTCTAGGCTTTCCTACATATCGTTTTGTTGTTGTTGTTTTATTGTTTTGTGTTTTATGCAGCGAGTTGATGCGAGTGGATGATGTGAAGTACATATGTGCCATGTAGTACTTTATGGTGATTCGTTTGATTTTGTTTGCCTGTTTGTGAATATGTGTTTGTTTTTAGGCGATGATGTCTTGATTTTTAGATTTTCAAAATATCTTAGCGCTCAACATAAAAGGAAATATAGAAAACTCTTCAAATACGATCCATAACTTAAGAAGTGGATGAAATGCAAAAGTAAAAAATTGCATTCTATGCTCAATGTGTGTTTGAGAGGTTTGAGTGGCTCCAGCGTTGACAACTAACGTAGTTGAGATGTTAATAAAATTTTCATTAATTTCGATTCAATGTTTTGATGTTATTGACCGAACAGTAAAGTTTTGATCGCTAATTCAAAGAAAAAATATATTAACGCTTTTTGGTGTTTTCGTTATCACTTTAAGTTTTTGTTTTATTTTTTATTTTTGCAAGGTTAACTAGGGTTGCCAAATTTATTTTTATTTCAAATGGTTTTTTATAGGAAACTTTTTATTTTTTTTTTGGTTTGCAACTTGCTTGGATTAAAATTAAACAAAACAAAATTTTTAAATTATGCTTTACACTTCTTTCACAATTATTGGTTTCAACACAACGTCAATTGTAAAAAAGTATTATATGTATAGCACTTAAAAAATTGCTTCTTCAAAAATATTATTTTAATACAAATGCTGTTAAATGACTGTTTATATTCTTATTTATGCTTTCTTTGAATTACTAATTGAATCTAAGTAGTTTACAAGCCCTTCACTGCCAGTCAAATGATCAGAGCAACACAATCTTTCTTTTAATAAAAAATCGTTTTTCACTAATGCCACAAATTCTCGTGAAAAAATGCACATTAAATAGCTGAGATTATTTGCAATTTTTTTCTCCAACAATTTCTTGGAAATTTTTCCATGCACAATTGATGCCAATCTTTATGAGAAATTCCACTGTTGCACTTCCAACGAATTGCATTTGAAATATTTTACTTTTATTTTTATTTTTTTTCCTCTAGTACATACTATATCTATATGTATTGTGTTTTATATCGGTTCCGCGATGTGTCAAACATTTTCCAAAATTTTCAATTTTCAATTTTTAACCAGGCAATCACTTTCGAGATCTATTTTCTAGCGCGTTAACACCGAACCACCGATCAGCGACGGCATTTAGTTATTTGCCAAGCAAAAATGGGTTTTTCCGCGAGTTAATTTTCGCTAAACGACCAAACTAGCGTACGTCAATTCGTCAACGTGAACGCGAAACGACCAAATGCCGGCCTTAGCACCAGCTCAGGCGCATCGTAGCCACCCAGGCTGATCGGCAGCAGCAGTCAACGGCTATCAATGGCAGCAGTCAGCTAGCTCGCCACCAAGCAGTTAGTTTGGCAGTCGAGCAGTCGAGCAGTTGCAGCGACGCTGCTGCGACGTCCATATGGCAGTCGGCGCCCACAGCCCACATGAGTAGCGGCGATAGCATGCGCCTGTACAACGTGAGCGCCACTGTGCTCCAACAAACAAATAAGAATCAAAGCAAAAAAAAGATCAGCCCTAAAAAGGGGTAACTAAGCTAGTCTACGGTAGAATAGAGGGACAAGGTAGAAAGCGGGGTGACAGCGGCAAGAGTTAAAGCGTTCGCGCCATAGAATATACATACATATGTACAAACAAAATGCGCATATTGAAATGAAAAGGTAGACATACATACACACACAGAAATGTGCATACCGTCGTTTAAAGTACAAAACCGCGTATCGTGGCTCTGCAAAACCTCGTAACTGACATTTGTGCCAAAAACGATATTTGGTCAACGGAAGCTCCTGGCCCTCCAAGCCCTTCTAACTATCCATACTTGGGCATACGAAGAAGAGATAATTGGGATAAAAGAGAGAACCGTTTTAAAATTTTGGCAACCTGACATACGAGGTTTTGCATTTTCTTGATGCGCGGTTTTGTATTTTAAACGACGATAAGTGTATGTGTGTTTGTTCATGTGTGACGTCCTATTGATGGAATAATTTCTCAAAAGTAGCGGCTGCGGCCACTAAAATAGGAGCAATATAAGCGACAGCGTATGTGAATCAGAAGCACATCTATGTATGCAGGTAAGTAGCTGAGAAAAAAAAAATACAAATAAATTGTGAAATGAAATAACTGCACAGCAACGGACAACATCCCCATCGGTGTGCAACAAAAACAAATAAATGAAAATGAAATAGAACTGTTCCAAAGAGGCCGTCCATTTGTGCATTTAAGGGTTGTTTGTTTGGCTTGCTCTGCATACGGTGTAGGTGTGTGTGTGCGCGTGTTAGTGGGAGGCTGGCGCAGCTGCTAACGCTACTGGTCGACATTCATGCGCGCACAGGTATAGCAGAGCTGTGGATCAGATGAAATTAACTACGGCAGGCAGCGGTGCTGTCGCGTTGGGTTTTAACTTTCAAGGAAAACTAGAAATTGATGCGCAAAACTCAAAATCATATTGATAAGGTTGAGATAGCGTTTTATTTAGATTGACTACTCTACACCAACCTCCTTCGCTTCTTTTTCTAAGCTGGAAAATTATACGCTGGCGTCCATGGCTCTCAGGTAGACGATATCAAAATCATCTAAGTAAAAAGTTATAAAGTGGCACAACATTTTTACGAAGCTCGAGTTTTTTTTTGTGGAACTCATT